GAAGCAGTGAGACTGAAGACAAGGTGTGGCAATAGCTGCTGATGAAGCCTGAACTCGAATTCTGGCTCCACAGCATCCAACGGGAGTTTTTTCCGTTGATGCTCAGATGCCACCATAGAGGGGATGTGACTATTGCAGGCAGCTCATGGCCCTTTGAGCTACCCCGTCTGGGGGTATGTTAAACCCCCAAATTCATCTGTTGTTAATGAGCAGATGAGTTTTGGGGTTTCAGGGCAAGAGGTCACGGGCACAAACTTGAACGTAAGAAATTCCATCTAAACATGAGGAGGAACTTCTTTACTTGGAAGGTGGCAGAGCCCTGGAAGAGGCTGCCCAGAGAGGTGGTGGAGTCTCCATCTCTGGAGACATCCAAAATCCACCTGGACATGATCCTGTGGGATCTGCTCTGGGTGGACCTGCTTTGGCAGGGGGTTGGACTGGAGGTCCCTTCCAACCCCATAGCATTCTGTGATTCTGTGAACAGACTTTTGCAGAGTGTGAAGGTACCCCCAAGGGTCTGTGATTCTGTGAACAGACTTTTGCAGAGTTGAAGATACCCCCAAGAGCTTGGGTGCCTTCAAACACCTCAGGGAGCTGCAGCATCTGAAGACCTTCTTCACCATAAGAAGTCCATGTGGTCCTTCATCTCCGCAGCGCGGGGCACCGAGGCTCATTGTCCCCATAATTGTGAAGACAAGAAAGTGCCTGATGGTTTCAGAGGGTCTCTGCTCTGCAGTCAGCACCGCTGGAGAGGTGGGTGAGCTTAAACATCAGCAAACCAGTTGTCTGAGAGCTCCAGGGGCCAGAGCAGAAACCAAGCTGGCCATAAACAGAGCCGGTTCCACGGCAACGGTTTGATGAAAGCTATTTTTGGAATTGGAACTCACGGGTGGGCAGAAAGCAGATAAATTAGCCATTAAACAGCGGTGTGGCCGCATCGCTGAGCCCCACCAGCCGTTTCAGCGGTGAGTAACAGAGGACATAACAAATCTGTCTTTGTACTTCTGCTCCCTCCCTGCCCGTGATGGGGAGATAAGACTCCAGCGAGGGTTCATTTCGCTGGCGAAAACACGGAGTTATCCATTAACTCCTTTTGCTAAATAAAGCCCTTGATCAAGGAGCGGTAGGGCTGAAGGCAAGCCATGGCCATGGGGCAGGCAGGCACGTTCATGTTCTGTGCCAGGGCCACCTAGTCACCCGTGGTGGCACGTCTCCGAGATGCCACCACGCTGCTGGGGACAGACGAAACAGCCCTGTTTTTGCACAGCAAAAGTGGGGATGTTGAGTGGAGGAAGCTGTTGCTTGCTTTTAGCAGCTGGAGATGTGTGGTGTGTTAACAGTGAGAGAGGTAGATGAATATGGATTTTTTTTCAGTTTGGCTGTCAAATCCAAAACCAGGGAAAATTAGTAAAACCAAGAATTTTCCTAAATAGTAGAAGAATTGCTTTTTTCTTTAATTATATAACACTGGTTTTAAAAAAATCCCTTCCTAAAATTTGGGTCAGTTTTTAAACAACAAAGCTAGTTTCAAAACAAAAAGTCAAAATATTTTGTTTTGATGGTGTTGAAACAAAATGTCTCCGCATCTCCAAACCATTTCTTTTGACATGTCAGAATGAAACATTTGTACACTTTCTAATTTTTTTCACAAATACCGTTGGTTCTTGCATTTTTTCAGTGAACTTATCCATTTGAGAAATGTCACTCAGCTCTAAAAATTACCATACATATAGAGCTACCTCTGTTACCGCATTATGTCTCATGCGAGCGTGCCAAATATGAATTCCTCGCAAGGGAAGCTAGACTTCAAAGCTGACCGATAAAGCCTGAACTGGAAAAATGCCAATTAAAAGGGTCAAAATGTTAGTAAACTTTCCTTCACCCTGCACCAAGGTCCCACCCTGCAGGTCAATGCCATGAGCCAGGATTAGGTAGGTCGTCTCTCTGTCTCTGAAGAGGACATACGTGGAGGGTCAAACCACAGCTTGTACCCCCACAAATGTGTTCAGATCAGTGCTTTAATTCTTGTTAAAGCTGCCTGTCTAAATTAGGGCTTCCTGGGAAATTCGCTGTTTTAAGGACCCTGTTGAACTGCAGGTATCTAAGGGAGTTTTTTGCAGGCTTCTTGTAGGAAGGTTGCGTGGGATCTAGCCATAAAATCATGCAGAGGCATGAAAATCTGGCAGTCCTCCAGAGCCAGAAGGTACTTGTAGAAATGATGAGACAAGGTGGTCCCCCACTTCCATCCCTGGAGGGGTTCAAGGCCAGGCTGGATAGGGCTTGGAGCAACCTGGTCTAGTGGGAGGTGTCCCTGCCCATGGCAGGGGGTTGGAACTCAATGATCTTTAAGGTCCTTTCCAACCCAAACCATTCTATGATTCTATGATTCTCTGCACTGCCCTGAGGAACAGAGCAGCCCAGAAAGGCTGGTAGGTAGCTCCAATGCTTGGTGTGACTCTTCTTGTCTCACTTGTCTTCAGCAAACATCTTCTAGACTTCTTTTGGGGGTCTGATCATCTCAGCTCCCCAGTTAAATGTTATTAGACTGTAGATGTCACAAGGTTTTGATGTTCCTGTTCCTGGTAGGTAGGTGGGTGGGTGGGAGAAGTCCAGGCCTTGCTGGGGTGGTGGTGTTTTATGGAGAGCAGTAGCCAGCAAGATGTCAAACTCTCCCCAGCACAGCGGGAGAAGTCCAGGCCTTGCTGGGGTGGTGGGGTTTTATGGAGAGCAGTAGCCAGCAAGGTGTCAAACTCTCCCCAGCACAGCACAGTATTCTGTGCTGTGTTGGCACACAGCAGAGCTTCATTAGCTCACGCTGATTTAAATATAAATCCCCTCTTTGTCGCTAATCACTCCATTCAGGGATGGAAAGTCCACAGAGACAAAAATATACCCAGTTAGTCAGCAGATTTGTGAATATTTTGAGATATTGGAGGTCATAAGTCAGTTTGCCGGCATTATCTTGATTATCCTATGGAAGTCTTTACTCAAAAATAGTCTCCAAAAATGCAAGTTTAGCAAAACTCAGCACTGACAGCATTGGAAAACATTAAAAGTACTCACCAAGCTAAATTCACATGAGGGCAGTTACTGTGGAATAGGCAGATGCTTTTAACTACCCTTTATGTTTCGGTGCTTACTCATATCCAGGAGCAATAATATAGGTGAAAGGTTAGAATGAAAAAACAATAACTTCCTAAAATCATAATGCAGAAATTTAGTTTTTATCTCCAGGTCTGTCAGCTGAATGTGCACATTTGGGGTTTTGTTTTGTTTTTTTAAACAAATGATACATGAAAACAATCTGCAGGGGTTGCTGGTGTCCCAGGGCAGCTGGCAAATGTGACATACTGAGTGAATTTTTTGGGGACCTTATTTCTCTCTCTCACACACACACACATACATGATTTGGACACCTTCATCTCTGTTTGCTGAGCTCCATTGCAGTGATTTATGTGCTGTCTGTCATCCAGAGCACTGGGGGAAGGAAGGGCGATAAACAAATAATAATCAGCAGAGATAACACAGAAATGAGTCCCCAAATGCTACCCCCAAGCAGGTAGCAAATACTAAGGTCCCAAGGAAAGAAGTGGGGGGAATGGGGCTCTCAGGTCTCCAGGAGAAAGGCAAAAGAGAGGAGCTTTGGCAGGGGGTTCAACCCCACGGAGAAGTGGTCCAGCACCATGATCTTTGAAGGACATGGGCTACACCAGAGCAGATTGGCTGTGGACAAGGAAAAAGAAATGTGATATCAGGAGACAGGGAAAGGAGAGCTGCTCCAAAGGTGGGTAAAGAGGGGAAACCCTGGAAAAAAGGGGGTGGGGGGAGAGAGAGGCTGGATTCCACCTGTGATGCTGAATGTGGTGAGAGAATTCCATCCCCCTGCCCAACCAAGCAGAGCAGGTGTTGGTCATCAGCCACAAAGCCGATGAGGCCAAAATATATTCTTCCTCCTTTTCCACCCTGTGACCGTGCCTTTGATGGCTATTTTTGACACTTCTGTGCTCTTTGTCCGGGTCAAAGTGCAGCAGCAAAAGCAGGCTTGGTCAGGGATGCAGGAACGGAGCATGCCCAGGTACGTGACAGTCGTGCGTGGAGACAGATGGACTTGGGAAAGGACATCTGAGATGCACTACCATCCTTATCCATGCCAAAGGTGACATCTCAATGGAGATGACCCCTCTGGGGTCTGTATGACCAAACATGGACCTCTCCCTCAGCACCCGGCACCCCTACGTGATGGAAAAAAGAAACGGGGCCCTTTTAGAGATTAGTGGATGGTAAATTATTCCCTTCATTTGTTATTCGTGATGAATAATGAATTATTCTCATAACATTTACTATGCTGTTCATTTATTATACAGGACAGGGGAATGTTTAGAAGCTAATTATTGCTAGGAAGGCTCTTGCACTTGCAAAATACATGACTTTTGCATATTTGTTACATCAGTGCTTTAAGTGGGGGAAGGGCTGCTTGTCTGTTTTAGCAGGTTTCTGTCCCTCTGTCAGTCATCCAGCCTTATCTCCCGTGGGCAGGACAGACCTCTCCCTCACCCTTACTGGTTTTGCTGGCCAGTGAGGCAGAGGTCCATACCATGCATCACCCTGGCCTCTGTACATCTCACATCCCTCTTTCAAGAGGCCACCACTGCTGCCAGGACCACAGCAACCATGGCCAGGGGGAAAATCCTGCACTTCATTGCCATGGCAGCAATGAGTTGGGGGCTAGAAATCATAGAATCATAGAATCACAGAATGGTTTGGGTTGGAAGGGACCTCAAAGATCATTGAGTTCCAACCCCCTGCCCTGGGCAGGGACACCTCCCACCAGACCAGGTTGCTCAAAGATCTGTCCAACTTGGCCTTGAACACCCCCAGGGATGGGGCATCCACAGCTTCTCTGGGCAACCTGGGCCAGGGTCTCACCACCCTCACTGTAATTTTTCTTCCTAATGTCCAGCACCTGGGAAATACCTGGAGCAGCAAGTGATGGTGGGTCTCAACACCACGCCATGGTGGAGAAGCTGTAGAGAAAAGTTGTGGGGAGCCAGCAGGAGAGGCCTCCTGAGCAGGGAGAGGTTGGGGAGATTGTTTGTTATTCTTGTAAGTATTATATTAAGAGACTAAGTGAGTAATATCCTTAACAGCAGTCTACCAGCAGCTGTAAATTGTCAGTTTTCCTTGTCAAAGCTAACTGTGCTGTGCTGCTGCTTACCAACAGATTTATCATACCCATTTAGAGTTGGTAAATAATTTATCAATTATTTTGAGAAATGCTTTTAAGGCGGCTCGAAGCTCCTGCTCAGCTCTGCAGCACCCTGCTCATCCACCACACCAGCTGGGGCCGTGTCCTGCCCACGTGCCAAGGAGACGTTGTCCTGCATTTCCCTGAGCATCCTGCAACGAGAAGCCAAGCTGTGAGAAAGGCTGCTGTGTGCCCATAGCTCAGCCCTAGTTGTTGCTCCCAGCTTGTGAAGGAGCATTGTGGACCACCACCTCTGCCTGGTGAGGGTCTCTCCTTTCTGAGTCCTATGGGACAGCTTGTGGGTCCAACCCACCACTGGCAGAGATACCATTGACCTTGATGGAACAATATATGTTTACAGCGGGAGATGAGCTAGTTCTCTGCTTTCTAATATCCTTCTTATCTACATTATGTGCCTAATATCAGTGTCCTCTTGTGGCCTCATGTTTACAGCAGGAGATGAGCTAGTTCTCTGCTTTCTAATATCCTTCTTATCTACATTATGTGCCTAATATCAGTGTCCTCTTGTGGATACCTTCAGTGATACCTTTACATATCTCTGGGTAACTGTTACCAGAGCTAAGCCAGGGAGAGGTTGATAAACCCATAGGGAGAGACAGCTCAATGCCATGTTTCTGAATAATTGATTATCACACGCTTCAGTATAAAACTGATCTCCAGTGATACCCTTTTTGGCTGTGCCTCATCATCCCTTTTTGTTTTATTTTGATCCCCCGGCAGAAATCTCTCTCCGCCAGCTGCCTCTGTAACCTGGTAAGAGCGTTGTGAGCTGCCAGTAAATGATCTTTTATTTTATTTTTCATCCTTGTAGTGGTAAATTATTGTGTCAGCACAGAGACGATGCAGGTGACTAACCTCATAAAATGTAGTAAATGATTAATAAAATCTCAAATAACAATAGCTCCATGGGCAGATCATAACTCGCCAGCCTTGAGGAGACCGCATGCCTTTAGAGGACACTGGCTGATTGCTCTGTGGGGGAGAATTTTCTAGCCATGAGTCAACAGAGAAACGCCAACACAGGGACAGCACGTGAGCACTGACAGAGTCAACAGAGAAACGCCAACACAGGGACAGCTCGTGAGCACTGACAAGTACCTCAGACCTTGATTTTCATCCCCGGGGAACACGTGTAAGCATGGGGGGATGCTCACCCATGTGGGTGATGGAGGGATGCTTTGCTAAACCACAGCCATGATCCCAGAGACCCAGAACAACTGCTCCTGTAAATCCCCCATTCTTTTTACTTTTCTTTTTAAACAGGAAAAATTACTCTTGGTAAGGTTAAGTTAGCCACTATCAGTGGAAGAGCTGCTGGGAATCTCAGCAGATTTTGGAGGGGATGAGGTTTTAACATGCGGTGATAAATGTGGTTTCCTCTTCTCTAGAGGTTCTTGCAGAAGAACCGCTGTCCGGTGGGCACTCGAGTGCTGAAGAGAAGCAGACACCACCATCACCCTTCAGAAATGCCTCGCCTGGGTCCTTTCCTGCCCTTCCCAGTGGGAAGGCACCCGGAGGCTGGACCCACCAGTCAGGAGACTGGGAAAGGTGCGTACAAGAAGGCCTTTTTATCCATACTTAGTTTTATAGGACCTAGAAAACTCCATGCTCCACTGCAGCTGCACCCCCCTCGGTTTGGCATTTACCTCCATAGACATAGTATTCTTGCAGCACACACAAAAAAAAATGCCTTTCTTGAAGCAACTGTTTATTCCCTGAAGGCACCATATGGGACAGAAACCTCAGAGAAAGGGAAACAAACTGTACTTTTCCGTGTGACTCCAATTATTAATATTCCAGTATTGGCCAAGCACTTGTAGAGCTGTAATGAGAACATCCTCTTACGCGCTGCTTCCAGAATTTATGCACAAGCAATACATAAATATCAATTAATGAAGCAACTATATAAAAATTAATTAAAACATGAGAGGATAGAAGCCTCTGTTCAGCCCCCTAAAAAGGAAAGCCATGTTCACAAACCCCTCCCTCCTGCGTAGAAGAAAGCTCTCAATTCCAGAAGAAGGAAACCATTAATTTTTTTCTAATTGCACAATACTTTTAAATTAATCTCCATAAGCACCACAGACAGCAAATGGGGGAGGGAAAAATCAAAGGTTTCACAATTAAATTAGTACTTGGGAGCCGTCTCTTGCCTGTTGGTTATGATCCAAAGTCCTTGTGTCCCATAACTTGTCCGTGGTGGCAGACGTGCAGACAGCGAGCGGCAGCCTGGCTGTAGGCCCCCACAAAGTCCATAACGTCAGGGTTTTACTAATGGCACCTAAACCTATAAATCCACAGCTATAAAGACTAATGCGTTAATTAGCCGAAATGAAAAATAAAAACTGTAAGAGAAGACAGCTGAAGGTGAAATCCAGACACTCGTGGAAAGGTGGCTCTTTTTGTTTTCGCCTGGTGTTTCATATTAAATCTTGGGGGCTCAGGGTACTCCAAGTGACCAATTTTAGTGGAAGAGCCCTCCATCGCCTCCCAAGTGTCCCCTCACCATCCCCACGATGGGTGCTGTACACCCAATGCTCTACAGAGGTTCTGGTTCATGGACACGGGGCAAATCTGGGACATTCCAAACAACACCAGAGCCAACACAACACATTTACTCACCACCTATTATCTCAGTGAGGGGCTGAAAGGGTTGGACCCCCATTAACACTAGCAACCGTAATGATAACATTTTATTTCACCAGCACCCAGTCCTGAGGTTTCTGAGTGTTTTTCTTCAGGCAGCATCCCCTTGACTTCGTGTGTGGCTGGAGGTTTTCCCACCTCAGCACCGGTCATAGGTTTGAGCCAGGACTTCAGGAACTCATCGAGGCTGCCTTCATCCCAGGAGCTCAAGGTGCTCAGCAAATGGCTGAACTTCATTTGACCTACAAAACACGGTAGGTTTTACAGCATCTACCTTAATGATGGGTGAATGGATGCAGATTTGCTAAAATCACAGTGCACGTGAGTCCAGGTGCTGGAGAAGAGCTGCTGAAGGCATTGACTACCAGACCATGACTCGTTTTACAGCATCTACCTTAATGATGGGTGAAGGGATGCAGATTTGCTAAAAATCACAGTGCACGTGAGCCCAGGTGCTGGGGAAGAGCTGCTGAAGGCATTGACCTCCAGGCCATGACTCATCCCCAGCCATCTCCTTGCTGCCCTACCCAGGCAAAGGCCACCTCTGCCATCCTAACACTTTCCCCCCTGGGCTAGCAGCTTCTCTCTGGGATTATTTTGCCTTCTGCATTTATTTATTTAACATCACAAATACCATCCATTAACTGCAATGGGTAAAAATAACGGTATTTTGTATGTGCTTTGGGTTTCCTCCCTGAAGCTCCTTGCAAACAGCATGAAATCAATTCTCACAGTGAGCTGGGCCTATATTAATGTATATATATTCCCACAAATGGCTGAGGATGACATTCAGGCTTTACAGTGGTGCAACTGAGAAGTCAGTCAAGACCCAGGGAAGGCAGCGGTGGGGTTGGGGCCAGAGCTTGGGCTTACCAGGGTCCCCAGTCCCAACCCTGCTCTCAGTTTTCTGCCAAGCCCACTTAGGAGGATGTGACTAGAGATGAGGAGTCATCTGGTGGCTTTATTATGCCAAGGTGGTGGTGTTTTGCCATTTTCCCTTCTTTCTGTCCCTTTCTGTAGTACTTAGAGAGATATTAATAGCAGGTGGTTCATCAGTCCTCTCCCTGTTGATGCCTGGGGCCATCATGGCTGAGCATCCCGGTGGTGGTTGGCCACGGTGACCACCACCATGGTCGGGGAACCTGCAACCCTGCCTGGTGTCGGCTCACGTACTGGGACAAAGCAGGGCATCAAGCCCATTTCCTCATTTAACAGACCTTGTTAATTTTTCTCCTTTATAACCCGCAGCATTATCAGCAGCAAATTACTGCTATTGATAACTCGTTAGCAAATAAAATGAAAGACAACGCCGCTGACATCTGTATGAAGCCGTGTCTGAGTGGCTCTGGCTTCTGCTTATTGGGCTTTTAGTATTCATTAAAGGCCTGTAAACGGTGTGTGTTTAAAATGCTGATCTATGCAGCGTGTGTTGAACTCTCAATCTGCATTAGCTGAGACAGTGGCTCGTACCCGCTCTGCTGCCTAGATAACCTGATTTATCAGAGTTTCCTAAGCTCTGTTTATGAGGCTGTTTTGTTTGTAATGGCTTAATTTTTTATTTTATTTTTTTTTTCACATGGGAGAATTTATCAACATCTGTGCATCACATTGTTCCGGGCACCCAGGTGGCCTTGATGGTGCTTGCAATAGCAGAGTAGACGTGGGGCGGAGAGTCACTCTGCCGGGAACCCTGTGTCTGCTTTCCAAAGGACAGCTAATTTAAAAGGTGGTGCTTCCTCTGGCCATTAGCCTCCACAGAAGGGAAAAACACATTATTGTTTCCTGCTCCTGTCCTTTCTCTGTCTGGTTGGGAAAAAATAGGAGGGGAGGCAGCGAGGAGGGCAGCCGGGCTGGGGAACTCCCTGCTGTGGGCTACCAGCCAGGTCGAGCGGCGGGTTAAAAGGTGGGTTGGACACCAGTACTGATAAAAAACCATCCTTGTGCATGTCACCAGACACTGAGCAGGCAGGACACTGCTCTGACATTGACTGTGTCCTCTCCAGCCAGCTCGACCTTGACCAGATAAGATGCTCCGTGCTGTTCTGGCTCCTCCTATCCCTTAAGGCTGCGGCTCCGTCACATCAAGGATACACCCAAATTGTTCCTTAACGTGAGCACCCGCAGCATTTTCACCTGGTGCCCTCAAAACCTGGCTCACAGGCTTCCAAAAGCATGACCCAAGAGGCACTTTGTTCCAGGCATGTTGCGATTAGGCAAAAACCAGGCACCTCATAGTGGCTTAATGATATAATTAAGCTTCTTCCAGTGGCCTTGGGATCCCCTCTGGCCTCCCTTTTTCAAACCAAGGCAGCTCCCTGAGAAGGAATTCCCTTGTAGAGTAAATGTCTCTATGAATTTGTGGCTTTGGGTTTTTCTTTAAAGAGAGGGAGGGAAAAAAAAGCTAAATTTTAAAATGTCAGAAGTTTTCTCTGATATGGGATTGCATCCAGCTTTACCAGAAGTGTGTGTGGTTTCCTACTTATCTGGCCTGATGGTGGAAGATGGACATCAGTGTCTCCAGAGAGGGATGGAAGCATCAGAGAATGTAGTTGTCAAACACTTTGGGCTTAGAGCACTTGGGCTTTTTTGGGTCTCTCTGATGGCATCGGGAGCTTGTGCCAGGGGCAGGATGAACCTGAACCACTGGAATCCCCACGATGCCTGCCTTGAGAAGCCTTTAAGGTGGTGGCACCTTCTGGTCTCCGTGCTGCCCAGCTTCTCAGCTGGTGTAACTCTAGCAGGAGAGCACCTTTTCTCGGAGCTTGGTCCTTGCTCGTTAGCAAACACGTCTCCGTTCCCATCTGAGGGGAGTTTCCACTGCTGTCAGCTGGGCTTGTGGCTGTTTTGCAATAGTAATATGTGAGGACGAAGGCTCCAAGTTCCTGGAATAAATGTAGGGGGTTTTCTGAGTATTTCTGTGAAGGAATTGCTCCTCCCTGCACTGCCTCAAAAGCTGCCTTTGAAAAGTCCACATATATTTCATACCGTTACCCTTTAGGATCCAGATTTTGATCCTCAGCATAATGCCTTTATTATTATTGTTTTTATTACTGTCATCTGTTTCCATGTGCACTCGGAGAACTCCAGGGCCTTCAGTTCTTAAGAAGATCAGAGTGTGGCCCACTGTAACGAAGTGACCTTTTATAAGGTCACACCTTAGGAAAAAATGAAGGGTGGCTCATGCACAGCACCAGAGATATCCTTGACACGTTCATTTTAAAGGTGATATCAACAACAGCATTTAATATAAGCAATTTCTGATTGGATCAGACAGCAAGGTTTTCTCTGTTCTCAAGCAGATTAGTAGCTCTGCTTTTTTTGTCCTCAGTAATTTAGACCAAATGAAATATGGTGCATAGGTATATGGCTTCACCATGATTCTGTTCTCAAGCAGATTAGTAGCTCTGCTTCTTTTTGTCCTCAGTAATTTAGACCAAAGGAAATATGGTGCATGGGTACATGGGTACTGGTTTCACCATTTGGAAATTCCAGTTACTGGGAAATTTCTTTGGCTGGACTATAGACACACACACAAAAAATAATCAAAGAATCAAGACCGTTCCTCTGACTTGGAAAAAAAGAATATTTGATGTTTCTATTCAGAAGCCAACTGACCCATCAGAGTAAGCCACCTCGAATGAAATCATCAGATTTCAGACCTCTTCATGCATCAGATTGGTGTCACGGCAGAGGTGGCAGAAGTCCTCTTGTAAACACCCTTTACTAGGTCACACAGTGCATTTGTTTCCCATTTATTCATTACTGGAATTCAGCATGTAACTCCTCATCCACAGTGTCTGTGGAAAGTGTTATTAGAAGGGGAAAAGCAGTGAATAAGAGTCACCAGTCCTGGATTTAGTTCCTGGCTCAGCCACTAACTCAGGCCATCCCTGTGCAAACAGCCACTTGGTTGTCTGGCTTCAGGCATAAAGACTTGCCATCACACAGGGCTGGGGCAATAATACAGGACTCTGGGTGAATATCTCTCTTATAAACATCACCATTTACCCACGTATCAAATAGCTCTAAGAAGACTCCTCTCCCAAGGTTGAGCTGACATTTATGGGTTTGCTTGGAAATCTTGGAGGGGAAGTGCTGTTAAAGCACAGAGAATGATTATTAACTGATGGAAAGGTATTTTAATGAAATATGCTGGCAAGCTTCCCTTTGCTGTACCGTGCCAGTGTTAAATAGGCTGCTTGAAGAGCTGCATATCTTTGCTTTCCGAGTGATTGGCTGAGAAATAATCAGAGCTGCTTCCCCCGGCACGTTTGTTGCTAGGTCGTTCTTGTTCTTTGCCGTCTCTCCTTCATCTCCACCCCAATAAATTCAGCCTCGGCTCTGAGGTTGAAGGAATCTGCAGTTGTTAACACGTAATCCTCACTCGAGTTTCTCGCCCTTGGGAGGCATTTCTCTGGGTGGTCCCAATGACACCTACTCTCTTTTCGTAAGCAGCTCCAAACGCTCGGCCAACTCCATCTCCCAAAAGCCTTCACTGGTCCCAGCCACCCCAAGGCATCTCTGTTTTGGCTTAGCCCTTGCAGGATGAATGGTGAGGGGATGGGAAGGGCATCAGAGGAGATGCCGAGATGTGATTTGGATGGTGGCACAAAGCTGAGCTGGGGTCTGAGACCATCACTGTAGTGTGGGGCGATCCCTCACACACCCAGTGCTTGGCCATGGTCCCTTTTGGTGAGGTCTGGGGTTGTTTCACTTGCATGACGTTGTTTTTTTGGCCATGAAGGTACGAGGAAGTGGCGGTCATTCGTGAAGGCTGAGGAGCAGATATGCAGCAAATGGTGGAGCTCCTCCCCAGTCCTTGGAGCAGCTGCATTTGAGATGGGAGATCTATGCAGCAAACAGCAATAAAGATGGGAAAGAAATGGAGCAGCCGCTGGAGTGTGGAGCGTTTCCATGAGCTATTGCAGAAACATGGAATACCATAGGCACAGGATGATTATGGTGGTTTTTGGGAGTGTGAATATCCTTAGACTTTGGTGGTCAAAGGTAAACGTTTGCTTGCCCGTGTTCTAGCCTATGAGTCAGGCTGGGTATTAGAGAGCTCTGTCTTTCTGGTCTAACTGCCCTGCTCATTTGTCTCACAAATACATTGCATCCCCCCCCTTGATTAAAGTTGCATAGAGCCTTCAGCTCTGTCAATGGTGTAATTTGCATTTTACTTGGCTTACAAGCCTGGGGGCTTTGTCTTATGTTATATAGGATATGCTATACAACAATTAGCCTGGAATCAAGA